AAATTTAAGTTTATTTTTAAAAAATATTTTCAATTTCAAAAATTATTTTCTACTCTAGTTAAAATAAAAGATATTTCTCAAAAATATTTTTCATTCATAAGTCAAACACTAAAAATCTTTTCCGAAAAATATTTTCTACTCACCAACCAAACATGAGAAAATAAGTCAAAAATCAACTTGTTTTCTAGGAAAACATTTTCCTTCATACCAAACACACCCATAATCTCCCGGAATGGATATCGTGAGCTTACAACCCCCGATCGAGAAGTAGCTCAATTAATGATAAAGAATGAGTTTCTAGTATTGATCAGGGAAGAGTAACGATTAGACGAAATGTAAAACAAGGCAAATTCGTCTTTGAAGCAAGAAATTCTCTCTTTCTCTGCTTTAAACAAGGCAAGATCATCATCTTTATTCCTTGTCCCTCCTCCAAGACTTGGCCCTCTCTTGTGATTGTCTAAGCATCTTATTGCTGCATCACCATTTCCACGTCAACTAATTATTGAACAACTTTTCCCATGAATAGCAAATCTAAATTTGTGATTACTTTTATTATATCACAAAACCGTAATTGTACTGGCGAAAACAAACAGGATTCCACAAATATACTGCAATTCCAAATCACTAGCCTCCTACCCTATTATTAACTAATCACACAAACAAGTCAACATATAATATAATTTAATTTTAAAATGTTCATTTTATTTTAATGAAATGATATATATACTCACACAACTATCTATTATACTTATTTTAAATCACAAATTTCAAAAAATATTCTTTCTTTTATAAATTTTGTGTCAAATTAAACTAACGAAATCGTGAGATGGAATCAGCGTTTGGACATGCAATTTCACGTTGATTCCATCTCATGATTTCATATCATGAGAAGGAATATCATATTCTCCAAAAATCATGATATGGGAATTTCATATCATGATTTGAGATTTTTTAAATATAAAAGTTAACCCACAAGTTTATATTTTGTTAAAATAACTCCGCATTATATCTACTGAACATATATTTCATATGTAAATAAAATTAATAATCACATCATTACTTTTAAAATTTATTATTCTCACCGATATAAAATTTATTATTGCTTTCAATTTGGTGAATATAAATGATAAAGTAAGAATTGATTTGGTGAATATAAATACAAACGGAGAGAGTAATACTTTTTTGGTTTTTCATAATACAAAAACTTCTCTTTTGGCTACATATGAAAATACTAGATGAGGGAAGCCGTGCTCTGCACGGCCCAATGTGTTCAATTAAAGGTTTTTAAAAAAAAGATAAATTCGTGTTCAATTAAAGATTTTTTAAAAAAAGATAAATTTATTATTTTGTAGAAGCAACATTCATATTCTAGCATAGAGTTTTGTTGATTTCTTTACTTGTATAGATGTCATATAGCTACAAATATTACCTCTAAAGTAATCAAATTAAATTTTTACGAACACAATGCGTCTTAGATAAGAAATTGTTAGAAATGTACAACTCCCATTAAAAAAAATGAACCAATATATACACCATTATTCTTATAACAAAATATTTCAATTCGATGAATATGAAAATAGGCAAGAGACTGCTCAAGAAGCAAAAATCACTTGCACATATACTATCAATACATGTATTTGATTGGACATATGTATTTGGGCTCACACCAACAATTTCACCTCTTGAATAATACAATGGCAAAGATTTGTCTACAGTGCACATGAAAATTCATTCAGCTCCTCCAGACTCTTCCTTCGAAAGATGAGGAGGCCAATAACATATTCAATGAAATCTGATCAATGAGGTATGAGAAGGGTAGAATGTAAGCTAACCTTACCACTAACTCGTGGAACAAAAAATTGTGTCATATTTGTGGAAGTACGAGTCTTCACACCAAAGGGCATCTCCTGTGGCCTGTACAGTAATATCTATTAGTGACTTTAAAATCATGTAAAACAAAATACACTGGCAATATCTCGATCCAATTCTAATGACCCTTGCGAGATAATATGTCACTATTAAGTTGAATGCTTAGTTGCTATACTTGCTAATGATATCATTAAGATGAGGCCATGTTGGTTGAGGATCAAATTTAAATAGCAAGTATGGAGCACATGAATCCATACATTAACCCTCATTATCAACTCAACTAAGAAAATACAACTCAACTAATTAAAATAATAAAATCAAATTCGGAGAAGTAAAATAATTAGCTTCAAGATGTAGAGCATCAAAGAAAAACTACTCAGTTATTTTGGGCGTATTATCAAAAATCTTTGCTACATCAGTTGCTCATTTGATGGATCTTTTCTAATATCATTTGAAAAATCTAGATTGGAGTCTCTAAAATGTATCAAAAGTTTCAATAATTGCTGCCCTAGAACATATTAATGACAAATTTCAACTAAGTTGAAAAGTATGAACAAAGTTGATTGTTCTTTATCTTTGTGATTTGTTTAGTTTTATCAACTAAATATTTGCAAGGTTTCGTGTTTTCATTTCTCATGTGACGTCTTGAACATTTTTTTCCAATGGTAAACTGATATAATTTGTGTGACCTTTCTACTTCAAGTACATTATCGCACCCATTTTTCATGTTATTTGTTTCATGGGTTTCTGCATTCTTAAAAAGTGCATCCATGTTAATTTCTCTCTTTTCCTTCACCATTGAGATAATATTTTAAAGACGAAATCAATTTATATAAAAAACCAGATAACATAAGGCAAAATCATTTTTCATTAATATCATCTTTATAGTCTTTAATTGTGGGCTATTCGATCATCCAACATAACTTCCTCTTCCTATACTTTTTTAGGAAGAAACATTAGAAAATATTCTACACCATGTAATCCACACAAACAAAGAAGGTAAACAATCCTTCAAACAAACTATATCCAAAAATTCTTTAACAGTTAACTCATCTCTGTGTATTACCTAAATATGTGGAGTATTGGAGTGTTAAAAGTAGTCTACACAACAAATTGGAGCAAGGTTATATTCTTCTATTTTAAACATACTTGTGAGACCCAGAATTAGAGAAATTAAAGTCATGGCGAAGAGGAACAATAAAGAAAGCAACAAAGAACCGACCTGTGAAGAAGGTTAAAGAATCTATTGGCGTCAAGGCTTCGCCACATTACTATAGTCCTTTGTTGTGAACTCTTTCCTTCATTGAAGAAGGCCAACACTGTCAAATACAATATCTAACACGCATTTTCACCATTTTCGCTGGAACTAAACTCAAGTGGACCTGTCACACAGAACTAAACTCAAGTGGACCTGTCACACACTCGACACTCCTCGCTGAAAAACCTCCGATATCTCTTGTCAACTGTTTCCTCTTCTCTCGCATCAATGCACCAAATTTTCTTCCAAATGATTAATATAGGAATAGATATTTACATCTATACAACACATGTATCTACACCTATAGATATTATTAGGCAAGAACTTCAAAAATTCAACCAACACTCACCAGAATAAGCCTGGATCTTGGAGGATGCAAGAGGGCCAGATGATATGACTGCGGAAGAACAGAAACAGAATAGATATTTTTTGCTGGCCTGCCAGTGAATCCAAGAGAAAAGGATTCAACTTTTTCTGAATAAACTATCTTTATCTATGCTTTTAATTATTATTTTTCTTTCAGTTGTTGATAAACTGAGGTATAAGAGAATGTCAACTAATATTTTTCTTATTCATATAGCCATCTTTTAGGAAATGATTCCAAGGAAGTTCGATTAGCATGTTAATTTTTATTTATTTATATCAGTATCTTTCATGCTATTCATACAAAAGTTCATCACTATCAATTAATCATTCTATCTGTTCTTGGCAACGACCTGATACAATGATATCTTTGGTTAAGGTTAAAAACTGTTGCTAGCTATATAAGCATTTCTCCTCGAACTTGTAATGAACTTGCGATATGGAATTCTAGCAAAAGAAACTGTGATTTTTAACGAAATGAAACTCTATCTACATTTAGGAAATTGTAGTCCCTTACAGTTGAGAAAGTGTGATGACAATCCTGGCATTCACATTTCATTATATCCGAAGTAGGCTCCTTCTTTATCTGTGCGAAAATGCCGCTCAGTCCCACCTTTCGATGGTAGCTGGATTGGCAGTCATCTACATGACATACAAAGGGCCTTTGTTTATGCAAAATATCAAGAACAAAATATTTTAAGAGTGTTCTGATCTATGGAGAGTGCTTGTATGCTAATGAACAAAAAGGAGAGTTTCTTTTTGTTCAATCGAAGGGTAATGTGTGCACAACGTTGCCCCTACTTATGGATGGCCAACTGCACATCGTCTGTTGATAGACAGACTCGAGTTAAGCTGCAGAAACCAACTAATATCATTGATGTATATCAATCACAACTGTTACATAGTTCCAAATTCAACAGTTAACGGGTCTCATTTGGTTTGTCTTTGGTCATCGATTTGGTTTTTCAAAGTTTTGGTCTGACCGTAAATAGATTATCCTTTTCAACTTCATTTTACTTGCAATATCATTAATTCTCAATCTCCTTTTCTATCCATAAAGACAATCTGCTATTTGATTTCATTGAAGAAAGAGATTTTGTTGATTCCCAACTCGCACAAAGAGTAAACAAAAGCTTAGTAGAAGCAGCTTACAATTACCAAATGGAAGCTCAAGCAGTGTAGTTGGAAAGGAAATAGGAATATGTGGTTGTTAACTAAAATATCAGTCATAGATAATTACCATTGTCATACTTACAGCTAACAGCTTTGCCCTGGTTTACTATTGTCATATTTACAGCTAACAACTTTGCCCTGGATCGTTCTTTGGCTTCACTCTGCTATACACATGAATTATCGATTGTCAAAGTAGGAAAACTAATCAACTTCGAGTTAGTACACTTAATACTGTTATCAGATTCATCTAATTTAAATACTCTCAACATAGCTAAATAAGCGTACCTTAGTAAGTAAATCATTAGAAACTAAACTGAGAAATTTCATGTCGGTAGGCATTTCGAGACTCTAATGTTGTCTGTTGGAATCTCTAAAAGCGAAGTTGGTAGCTGAAATTTGTTTGGTGCCGTCTTTTGAAGTTGGAATTTGAAATTTACCTACGGAATCGGGAAACCTTTTTGGTAGAAAGCTTTGAAATTCACCATTGTTGAAGCTTGGGTCTGATTTGGTGATAATAACACTTTATTACACAGATGAAGCTGCTGATAACCGTTCAAATTTCCATGTTAATAGCTGAATCGATGACAGAACAACTGTCGACGAAACTGGAATTTGGGTTCAGAATTAGCAAAAAAATCCTAATAAGCCAAACCAGGGTCTAAATTTTTTTGCTGAAATTTTGATGTACACTTTAAAAAGTTCCTTCAAATTTTTGAAAGCTGATTGAACCGTGTGAAAAAACTTGAAGGAACACTGACACAAGAGATGAATATGAAACGAATGATCTAGTAGCCGACATAGTGTTTATCATTTACCCTTGAATAATAATATAATTACGACTACGCCCTTGGTCGTTCAGCCCATGGCTTTTCTATATAATAGAAATAGAAACTAGATCAGTGCAGCCCGTGCTATGCACGGGCCCAACAAATTGGTTAATGAAATTTTTTGATACATTTTATTTGAAACAAATTATTTGTATTACAAAATTGTAAGGAATGCAAATTTATATTTACAAATATACTACAAAATTGCCTCTTAGGTATGGAGGAAGGCCAATAGCCCTTTGTTGTTTGTATGAAAGTTTAAGTAAAATAAGAAACTAAAAGTTCTTACAACATTTGATAAGAAAAAGTAAACAAACAATGTAGATTCAAACTGCACAACATGAATAAATGTATTAATGATCTCCTAATTAAGCTACCAAAAATGTTGATAAACAGATCAACACACAATCTCTAGAAAACATAAGGTTTCATCACCACTTGTATTATTCAGGAAAATAATTAATCAAATAATATGCTCAAAAATACATTTCAATCTAAATATATTAAAATTTGTCAACCGAAAAAAGAAAACAGGGATAAAGACAACACTTCGAAAAAAGGAAACAGGGATAAAGACAACAGTGCTAATTCAGTACCTAGCCACTTGAAACTTTATTTCACATCATCAATAAATAATATCACCAAAAAAGCTTCTATATATAATTGATATATATATATATATATATATAATTGATAGGTTTGAAACATTCAGTATTTTTTAAGCAACCGTAATATAGCATGAAGCTACTTGTTCACAAAATTTCAGTACCATGACAATTTGCAGCTTTTTATGTACTCTTCATGAGTTAATCTAAGATTACGTGTATTTTGCACTTCCAATTTAATTCAGTATTGTCCCTAAAATTAAAAAGGATCTTAGTACTTGCTTCTTAGGTTCATTAGATCAATAGTAGTGACAACATCCAAGTATATTAATCTAATGCAAGGTGTCATACACTAAAAAAAGAAAAAGAAAAGGAATAAAAAACTCAGATACACTTCTAAGAGCTGAGCTTCTAATGTAACATTATAACAAAAAGAATTGAATTGAAGAGCATATGAAGGTTCAGATAGCGAAAAAGACAATCATAATCACGGTAGAAAATATAATGTGAATAGATTATTACTATTAAAGAAGTAAAGAAAAGAATAGTCATTAGGGTCCTCTTTAAATATAACTACAATAGAAACATTTGTTCCTACAACTAATTTTGTCAAGGTATCCATAGCAAAATCATGAAAGCATGTAAGATTATATTGATTAAAACTATACATGTTGCCTACAAAAAAGTAATAAAAGAACTATACAAATATCTAATATTGGAAAATCTACACAAAATTCATCAAAAAACTTGAATAACTAAGGGTCAGAAGGTGATGAATCTGACCACGAGGAAGGAGCATCCATAGTATGATCAAATTCACAATTAAAATGCAATCTCTTGGACAGAGCTCTGGAATTTTCAAATTTAATGTGGTGCTAATAAGAGGAAGAGCTTCCAAATGATGCAGAGATAAAATGTTTCAGGAATAAATAAATAAAAACCTAAAGATAAATCTGAAAATACAATAAGCATAAAGTTTAGTCTGCAAAGTATATATTATCTTGACCAATTACAGTATGACTTATTCAATGTATATTGTCTAATATCTCTCTATGTTGACCATTCCTTGTTTTCTTTATAGAAAAGAAAAACATCAACTTAATTGATATTGTATAACTGATCTCCGGAAAAAATCTTCATAACTAAGTCGAAAAGAAAAGCTTTTCCATCAAATCCAATCACAAAGAATGTACCGCAATTACATGTAGTAGTGTAACATATAGCAAGACTGGTGGATCAATTAAAGTGAAGACTCTAGATTAATCAAGTCCTAAATGAGGTACATTCAATTGGGTTAAAGATTATGCAACTGCCTTATGCGGCTAATCCATTAGGAAATGCTGATACTTTAGGCAACTTTTTCAATAATTTTTCATTGATAAATTCCCTTCTTGATTCTTGTAATATCAATATCAAAATACATTATACGTATTTGAGCAAGTTTAGCTATAATAGAAGAAATGAAGATGAATAATCATAAAATTCATTCAATAGAGATAAACCTGCTCCAAGTTACCATTGATCTCTATTGTACAACCTTAAATTCATGAAAATACCCTTAAAGAAACAAACACAACTGTAAAATCTAATTAAAAGAACAAAATATAAAAAAGTTGAAATGAAAAAAGTGATGATATAAGTATAAATGTTAATCTTATTCTTTGTTAAGGTTTAACATTGTTCAGTCGATTCTTAGAACCATCAGACATGATTTTTTCTCCTGCACATATACAAATTATCATTTGACATATAAAAAGTGCTAAGCTAAGTTTGCGACTCAAGAGTTAAGAAGAAATGCACAATACATCTGTTGAGAAATATTGTTTGTACTTTTAGTTCAAATTGTGTATCTGATTACTCTGATGGCCCAATATTTTATATTTCTAGGAGCTCACTTATAGATGCTCCTAGAAAATGTTATTTGGGGGTGATGCAAAGGAGAAGCATATTGTAAGCACGGACCCGACATAATGAATCTTGATTAAGGAAGATCTGTACGTGCCAAAAATAATAGCATAACGAAACTCATACCATTTAGAAAAGCATAATGGTACTTAAGCACTTTATGCTGAGGAATAAAAAATTGATGCAGCACATTGATTTAGAAAGAAAGAAAAGGAATTCATATTTGCCTCTTTAGTCTTATAAGTGTAACATCTCGAGGAGGAGTAAGAACATCTCAACTATCATTTTTTTTCTTGAAACTGATAATGTTACATCTCAACTCTCATCCTAAAACAATAATGTAAGTCGTCTATAGAGAATAGCTTGTCAAATGACTAACAATATATATTAACCATCTTATCCATCCTAAAATACATTTGTCGACATCTAATATATAATCTCATCAAAGTCACTCTCTTACATTTAAAACTTCGAATGTTAAATATATATGTACCTTTTGATGTTTGAACTCAACACCTTCCACCAACTCCAAAGGTGAAAGGAGGTGGAATAATTAGTGATTCTCTTAGTATACACATTCACGACACAATGAGTGTTAGAACTTGTACCATGACATAGCCAAAGTAGAAAATATCTTGCATGTATAAAGAAAAAAAAAAAAAAAATAGAAATGTAAGATGCAACATACTTGATTTAGGCATCTGGGGTATTCAGTAGTAGTAAATTCATTCAGTAACAACTTTCAAGCAACAATCTTCTCCATTTACCATTTTAATTATAGAAATCAGGCCCATAGAGTTGAGGGTAAAAAAAATTTAAAAAAAGAAGAAGTTCGGCAACATTAACTCTTTTAGTTTCTACCACTACATGCTTGTACATGACATATATAGGCTTAGCTTTTAATTTTTTTTGGCTTCGTGGTGGTTCAGAAAAGAGTAGGAATACTATCAGTTCCTTGTTTAACTTTTAAAAAAATTTGTTCAACTAAACTCATAGAGAGTTGCGAAAGGATGAGAAGAATTTCTTACCGAGTTACTTTGAAATGAATCGTCGAACGGGTTCTACCAACTGCATTTGATGTATGGCTGACCGCAGTTTCTTCGAAAGATGCTCAACTAATCTATTTTTGTGGGAGAAACATTTAAAAAATTGGTATGCATCTATAGATATTGTTGCTCATAGATAATGGCATTACCATATTGCCTTGAGAAATGGTGCTTTCCTATTGAAAAAGTCCTGAAAAAAGAGCAATATATCTGAGGAACTTTTAGAAATTAGTTTACATGCTATAAGTTCTTCAGCAATGAAGCTAGCTCTATACTCAAGAATTTCTTAGCCATTTTGTTCTACTTATTTAAGCCTAATATCAAGAAAAATGAACCATGAAATCTATAATTAAATTTTTACACATAGAAAAAACAAATAAGATCAACCCGTGAAATTAGTCACGGTGCATGAAAGCAAGCTGACACGGACATCACGATTATTTTTAAAACTATATAACAAACAATTACATCATTTTTTCTTTGATTCCACAGTTGTATCTAGTCTAGAATGTAGATATGTTCAAGGAGTTGGTATTACTTTTCAAAATACTATTGGCATAGTATGTTCTGTCATGGAACGCTTTTGAACTTATTTTTTAATAATAATCTATATTAAAATCAACAAATAAATTTGACGAAAATAATCTCAAAAACTAAACTTTTAGCAAAGTAACTTGTGTGTGATAACATCACAAATGGAGATTGACAAAATTTATGCAACAACAATAATCTCGAGTGAATGACTTCACATATGCTACTTCAAATGAGCAGACTTTGAAAGCTCACACCGCATTCTTCACAAATATTCATTTTTTACCCCTATTATCGAATTTTGAATCTCAATTACAATACAATGTTTTTAGCTATTAATTTTTAATTGCATTCTTCAATTTCTCTTGTTCGAGAACAAGCAATAATGAAGACCGAAAGGAAGAAAATTAATGTGACAGAACAATAATAGTAACAGATAGAACAATAACAGTAGCAGACATGAATTTAACCCATAAAATTGAAATTGTGAACGCTACCAGAATAAGATTGTGAAAATATTGAGAGAAAAAAACTAATTTGATTTTGCAGTACCGTATGAAAAATCAAAGAGAACATAGAAGAGAGTGTTGGGTAGAACAATAACCACAACAACTATGAATTTTAAGTTATGATATTGGAAATTTAATCTTTTCTAAAAGAAGATCAGGGCAAATATTGAGGCAAAAGCTGACCTAAGAATGCACGTTCAGATACGAAGACGAAGCTAATGAGTAGGCCTTTGAATTTAAGTTTGGATGAAAGAAAATTATGGACACTTGGGAGGAGTCTTCTAGAAATTCTCCATTGTTGGAACAAAGAAATGAAACGACCGAGTGTTCTAGAAAGGCCAAGAAAAAGCTGATTCTTTCTTTTGTCTTTGAGCAAAATGACGAATTTACCCTTGATCGTTCTTTTGATGGCGTTTCTGTTTGGCAATGAAAGATTTGTCAAGAAAGTGTAAGAGCAGTGTATCTTCACTTCTAGCATTCTATTTTCATGAAAGTGCGCATTAAATAATGCATTCTACAACATACAAATACATAAATGATGAGTTAAATTAACAACAAAACCACAAGAAACAAGGCCACATCGTGTAAGAAAATTTTAATTGAGATCAGTAAACAAACATGATTACAACAATAACATGAAAATCAAAATAAAACCAAAATCACCTTAGCATCCTCAACTGTAGCAACGGTGACATAGCCGAATCCACGAGAGCTAGCAAGATAGAGGACATGAAAATTTTCATCTAAGTTTTAACAGACAACACAATCATAAATAAAAGGTGGGTGAAGGTAACTCTGCAAATACAACATTTATCAATAGTCAATACACCAATAAAAGGGTAAAAAATTTCAAATGTAACCCATCAAAATAATAAGGTAAAATAATCGAAGCAGACAAATAATTGCAGAAGAAATTAAGAAAAAACAGAATAGGAAAGAAATCACAAACACAATGCTTTGATGCAGCGAAGGGGAGAGGGAGAAGGACAAAAAATTTCTGAAGTAGCAATAGACAACCGAGAAAAAAATAATACTTACCCAGTTGCAGTTTCTCCGACATGTAGTATTCAATCAATTTACATACTCTTCTACCTTGATCAAACTAACTATTTACTATAGTTGAAGTGCAAAAAGCCTTACCCAATAAATATAAACAAACATAGAATTGAAAGAAAAAACAAGATAGGAGAAAAATAGAGTTTCAATTTTATTTTTATTTTTTGATGAATTCAATATTTTCGAAACTACCTAGAGTCTTACTATCTAACTAAGAAAGTTACAAGAATTTTGCTCCAGTTATAAATTGAATTTTGCTTCATAAAATCCAGAAAAATGAATCATTCATTAGTAACTTGTTCAAATGATCCTCCATGAAGGAATCTCCGGAGAGGGATTGAAATCAATATTAGGAGAGAAAGGAGACGATTTTTATCGGTAATACTTTCAGATTATTTTAGGAAAGTTGCTGGCGGAGAGTGAGAGTGGAAAGATGAAGATTCTTCTGGAGGAACATATACCAAAAAGTCTCTAGGATTGTTAATATATTTTTATAGTTACAATTTTGCCCTTGTAAGATTGGTTTAATATCTATTTTGCCATTGGTCGTCCACTCATCACGTTTCTATATAATAGAAATATATATATATGATTGGAATAAAAATTCTTTTTCAAGATAATTATCTTTGATTTATGTTAGCGGTCAACCAAGAATAGATTTATATAAAAAAAAAATTAGTTTTTTTTCTACACAGGTTCATCTGACATCTAAAATGTTTAGTTCAAGTTCTTGAACTTTTAAAGTACTTATGAATTTAGTGCGGGATACACGTGCAACGCATGTGTTCGAGAGCTAGTATATTACTAAAAGTGGGAAGCCACTAAGTTAAAAGTTGAAATACCATTTTACCCCTACACCAGATTAAAATATTATAAAATATATACTTAATTAAATAAAAATAAAAATCATTTATTATAAAGTAAATTCCTCCTATTAAATATAATAATTTGTATGTTCTAATGTTAGCCTACTGCTTAATTGAACGAATTTTTAATCTTCTTATACATGTAGTATTGTTATCTTCTTTATAAATTTTATCTTATTCTATTTACTAATGGTAGCCTTTTCACATTTCAGCTTATCTCATTTAATTAATTAGTTATATTATATTACCATTATAAATTTTAAAGTGAGGAGATATTAAGTCAAAGCATAAAAAACAAAATAATCATAAGAAAGTATTTATATTTATTCCGAATGAAAATCAATTAAGCTTTTTCCACAGTTAATTTGAATAACTTAATATAGTAGTATTTGACCTCATGAAAACGTGTATCTTTTGAAATCCAAATTAAGTTCACTTAAATAATTAGTATGTCATGCCTCGGGAAAGTCAAAGAGTTATATTTGAAGTATGGTTATAGTGATTCATGTATTTATTTATTTTTATTTTATTTACTATTGATAATATTTAGCACTATTCACTTAAATATTATTTCTATTAATATTTTTTCTTATTTTATTTACTATTTTTCTCTTTTATTTGCTTTAAATATTCATTTTATAATTTATATCTAATTACATATTCAATTGCTACTTTTAATATTCATAACTCGTAAGCTTTTCATATTCATAACCTCTAAATTATTAATTTAAAACTTTAAGATATCTTTTGATATTCCTCTATTTTTATCTATATAAATTCAACTTCTAAATTTCACGAGACCCCTATCCAAACACTTATATTATCATATTACTATTTGATTTATGTTTTTGTTTGATTCGATAAAAGAAGTCTCTTGAATTTTGATTAGTTATGGGAGAGTGTGAAGACAAGAACTAAGAAAATTATGTTTCTAATTTTGTATTTTTTTTCCATCTCTATTATTATGATCAAAAGTCTTAAGAAGGATGAATATGCTACATTTTTTTCTATTTTTATGTGTTTGTATTTTCTCTATATTAGATTTCTTTAAGTTAATTTTCTATAAATTTCTGATTATGGTAAGTCTATATTTTTTTTTTTGGTAAGTCTATATTTTTATTCGGGTTTAAATTATTAATTTATGACTTTATTAGAACACTAAAATATATTCTTCATTTGGTGTTTCTTGTCCCACTTTTAAATATTTTATTTGTAATTGAATTTTATTACTCATTACACACATATGTTTATTGAATTATAATCGTTCTAAATAATTTTAAAATATATATATGGGACACGTGCAATGCCAAAAAACTAGTATATACAAATACAACATAGCAGCCAACGGTTGAAAATAGTAAAATTCTTAATGGCCATTAGTCATAAAGATAATTCATTCACTAGAATTAAATGGTAGAAAACGTTTAGCAACTGCCAATTTTTTTACCAACTTGAATATTGATTTATGAGCTAATTCAAAGAATATTAGAATGAATATAGATAATAATATGAATATTTCTTTTTGAGATATTAGAATCATTTTTTCAAAAATCCCCTACATATCTCAAAAAGAATGTTAAAGAATAGAATGGAATAAGAAGTTTTGATGGGTTGTCACATATGAGTACAATGCATCAAATCTGGTGTTTGTAGACTATGAACCAGATCTAGATAAAACCAGATATGCACTTACAGAATAAGTGGTGAAGTTTAGAATTTCTATGAACTAAAACATTTTTTCTAAGCTCAGTCTTATTCTATCACATCATACTCGCGGAATCTTTGTCATTATCATGGTTTTGTGCTAAGAGGTCATGCGTGTGTCTTGGTATTCATGAGTGTTATAGAAATTTGTCACAATTTCATGGAAGCGACACCAATTCACACTCATATAGGTCCAATCATCAAGTGTATTCTGCAAAGCAATACACAACCTATAAAGGATATGAATTGGATTAAGAGTTCTAACTTAGCCTTACTTTGTCTTGCAGATTGTCGCATTATATTCACACATCATAGGATGCACATAATTCTATAGTGCTTACTTGATCAAGTAATATCTTGTTATTACTCATATGAACCAAATTCGTGAAATCTTCAATCACATAGGTTGGGTTACCATCATTATTGATCTTCTCAAATGACAAAAGTATTACTCCTCTTGATGTTTTTTTAGTCAGTGAATCAGATTCACCTTCAACTACACAATTTATTTATTTAAATAATTTAATCTCATAGTAGTTGCTTCTTCACATTATGTCTCAAACACATTTAATTTTGTCATTGAAACAATTATGTTTTCACAACAACTATTACTGCTTGGCAACCACATATGGATTTAAAATCCACAAACTCTCATTGTACCCCCTCTAGTACAAAAAAATATTCAATATATTGGGTACTATACTTGTGGTATCTCTCATGTTTTACCAATGACTTCTTTCTAAAATAATGCAACACAAAGCAATATTATTTTCAACAAGAACATGAGGAATATAATCATTTTTTAAAACTCAATAAAAATATTCTCTAACATTGCATTCAATCACATCATAATTGATTACCACAAATATGTATATGCAACATTTATTAGCATACAATTAAAAAGATTAGGTCTTATTTTTCATACTTAGAATCATGTAGCACAACTTTAGCAGCACACCCCTACACTTCCAAACATTTCAGAATAGAGGTATAACTTTTTCAATGTTCATAAGGTTTTCAACTTTGTAAGTAGGGAGAAGGGTCAAAAATACCCCTCAACTTTGTTTTATTGTTTGATTATACCCTTACCGTTAAAACGAAGTTATTTTTGCCCCTGCCGTCTACAAACTCATCACATTTACCCCTCAATTGGATGGAAACCCCCAAATCAACAAAAATAACCCGATTTACTTAAATTAACCAATTTTAACCCGACTTGACCCATCAAATGATACAACCCACCTATGTTCATCTTCATTTTTAACCTAATTTATCTGTCTCCCTATTTCCTACTTCCTACTGTTCATCTTCATCACTTCCTTGAGCTTCAAATCAAACATTCTTCTTTGCCTTCTTTTCCGTAGAGGGACATAAAAGTGCTGTTGGGAATCGAGTAGTTGCCAAGGTTGAGCCTTCAACAATGTGGATCGATTTCGAACTTGTTAATGCTGGCTTAGTTTTATTGTAGTTTGTCCCTTATTAATAAATTCCTACATGTTCCTGAAACTGATATCCAGTCATTTGATATTAGACAAATATTATTAGTCTGTCAGTTTGTTTTGTTTTGTTGAAGAAAAAGTTCTTAGTTTATCTGTTTCTATCTTCTAGTTGTTGAGCCTCTCTACCTCCCCCAAGGTAGGGGTAAGATTGGCGTACACACTACCTTTCTTAGACCTCACTTGTGAGATTACACTGCATTTGTTGTTGTTGATGATGTTTGGTAAGGGTATCATTGTTCTTTCTAAGGAACAAACTTTGGTGCCTTTAAACACTACAATGTTCTCATTCTGCATATTAATTGTGAGAAATTTCTATATGAAAATTTGGGATACTTGTTAAGGGAATGATGCGTGATGTCTCGAAAAGTATCAAGTCTTAGAATTTTCATCCCCGATTAATAAAATCTTAAAAAATGACTTTATAGGAAGTTACCAGGTTCTCGGGAACCCCCACCTGATACCCTGGATCCGCCCTTGATAGCAAGACATTCTTCTGGTGCCCAAATTTGGAGCAGTATGCCCTGCTCTCTGAAAGATAAACGACCAAATTAATAAAAGCAAAAGTTGAAGTCAATTCTTGCCTTCAATGTCGTATATGGCAAAAGTTAGGTATTCCCTTTTGTGGTAATTGACCAAATTAATGAAACCTTAAATAAGCTAATTGACAAACATTGTAAAAGAAATTCAAGCATCAATTCACATTGCAACACTATTTGTGGAAAAGACAGATTACAATCGTTCAGATTATTTGTTTAATATATGTAGGTTAGAGTGTCTACTTAAGCTGAATTCGATAATGTTGTAATTCGCGGTCTCTTAACAATACTTAGGACATGAAACAAATTGTTCTTATATATATCAAAGGGAAAAGGGTTAAAAATACCCCTCAACTTTGTTTTATTGTTTGACTATACCCTTACCGTTAAAACGAAGTTATTTTTGCCCCTGCCGTCTACAAACTCATCACATTTACCCCTCAATTGGATGGAAACCCCCAAATCAACAAAAATAACCCGATTTACTTAAATTAACCAATTTTAACCCGACTCGACCCATCAAATGATACAACCCACCTATGTTCATCTTCATTTTTAACCTAATTTATCTGTCTCCCTATTTCCTACTTCCTACTGTTCATCTTCATCACTTCCTTGAGCTTCAAATCAAACATTCTTCTTTGCCTTCTTTTCCGTCTTTTCCGCAGCTCACGTCTCGGGCATCATTATGCCATTACAGGCATCTCTTCAATACCCCATTCTCTTCCTTAGAACCTACCCTAAATCTGATACTTCCAGCAAAGTTAAATTCGAAATCTCATTAACTATCGCTGATACTCTCCCTGATGGAGCCAACTTTGATTCGTGAGCTGATGTTGTGAAATTTGAACTAATTAACGGTTTAGTAAAGCTGTAGAAATGGGTTTCAGAATTTTTTTGAATCTTGGACTGTGGAATTGTGAATGCACATAAGGTGTTAGAT